TTACAATATAGATTATAGGTCTTACAGTATTTCATTATACTAGATTACAATTATGTCTTTCAAAATTACATTGTAGTTAGCATTTATTTGAGGGTCTAACCAGAGAAAAAAAAGAAATGCTTCATTTACAAGCTTGAAGTCAAAATCAATTTGGTTTATAAATATCTTAAATAATTTAATATTCATACACTAGCACATGGTAATTTACGGTGTCAAGCATTAGCAATGAATATTTTATGATTTGAACAATTACTGCATGCTTGTTGGTTTATTTCTCCCCAAGAGAACAATCATCAAACTTGGCCAGTTTATGCATCTTAGGTAGAAGGTGTGTTGCGACCTGTTTCAAGGTCACTGTGACCATTAATTTAAGTGAAATTTAAAAAAAAAATGTGTCTTTTTACTATTCATTTAAGCATCCCAAATAATGTAAGAGTATTGCTCTCTTCTTATTTAAAAGTAAAAAAATCAAGAAATTACTTATTTTTTTACGCATATACTTGACAGCAATCTATAACAAATATAATGTATGTTAGAGAAATCCTACCTCTCCCTTGAGTGTAATTATCAAGCACTGGTCAAGAAGAATTTTGATAACAGAAAATTGCATGTAAACTAATTATACATGTGTTCATTGAAATAAAATTACTGGGGTACATTTCAATTTTTATATATTTGCAACAAATTAGTATGCCTCAAGAATTTTATAGCTAAAGAATAATTAATTTTTGATTTTTTTTATTAGACTGTAATTTCCAAATTCCATTAATATGCAATAAACAATTTAAGCTGCATATGGATATTTGTTAAGTTCTAACACAGCCAATTTAGAATTATATGATGTATTATTTGTTATAATTAATCCCTACAGTAAGTCTCTTAGAGATGTATGTACAATATTTTAAACATGATAAGAAATGGAAATTAGATCATTGAAATCTGTGTCAATCTGTTAATCAAGGTAATCTGATTTTCTTGCACCTTAACCAATTTATGATTGTTGAACAATATATTTGACGGGCGTATCATGCTGTGGCGGGGCACTTTATTTTTTTTTTGGTGATAACTCTCTTGATACTATTAAATAGGACACAGAGATTACATTTAAGGACAGCCTTGTAGATCAAAATTCTACCCCCTCCCCCACCTGAAACATGAATTGAACTCACAATGGCAGTATTTCTTTGAATCAGAGTAAGTTTATCTCATAGTAGAAGTGCTGTGTACCTAATAATAAGAGATATAGTGACGAAATAGAAAAGATAAAAGTAAAATATAAACTAATTAATGCATGTACTTGTAGTATGCAAGGCAAAATCTTATGGAATAAATATAATTCCAAAGGTGAATTTTTTTAAGGAAAATAGTGTTATCAATATTAAAAGTTACTGAACTCTCTTTACAAATGTTCATTTACACCAGTCAAAACTTGAACAGAATTGAACTACTTTGTAGAAAATAATATTACGCTTAATATATAATAAATGAGAATAAATATTTTAATACAAATTGAAAAATATATAAATATTAAACAGAATTACAATAGACTTTTACTAATTTATTAAACAATTGCACTCTTTATCTGTTATTAATTGACAATCATAAAATCTCCTTGCTAGTCCTCAATATATCAATTTTGTTCAGTTATATTTATTCTAAAATGTTGTTTGCATGAAGTATATCTAATAATCTTTGACTTTGCATGAGGTTGCATGAGTTTAGATATTTTATTTTGTTTATTTCAGATGCAGTGATGAGACTACAGTCTGACACCCCTGCCGGATCCTCTCCCCATTCCATCCATCATTAATCATCTAATCAACATCACATGTTCTGATTAATCAAAGCATAATATCAACGCATGTTTTAGTTTTATCACAAATATTAGTTAATTCATTCCAGTTTTTCATTCCACATTTTTTACTTATAATATTGTAATGTTTATAGCCAGTTTTTCTTCATGAACATTATTGCTTGATATTTTCTTTCATGTGTTAAATGATTCATATTATTTTTGTCATTTTATATTCTATCTCAGGACGAGATCTGTTTTATTAATAGTTTTAAACTTTGTCTACAATATATGTTTCTTCCAATCACAAGAGAACATTCCAAAAATTCCAGTATATGCATAATAAAATAGCTTTAATGTCACTAGCATTGGTCTTTGACAACCAGCGTTATTAGCACTGCGCTGTGCATTTGATGTTTTGATCAGTTTTATAAGAATGTACAAGGAAAAATGGCAAAATGCTTGCTTGATCAATGATTTTTTTTAATTTGCAAACAGTACACAAAAAATTAAACATTTAATGTCTTGTTGTGCCAATATTGTGAGATAATTTTGTTCAGAATATACATGTATGAATGACAGCAAAGTCACTAAGGTCTGAAACAGAATTTAAACTATATCAATTAATACACAAACATCATCTGATACTTTATAATATAGTGCCATAGCATTATCTTTGCAGATGATTTTTAATTTCAGAGACTCATGGATATAAAACACACTCTTTTAATGCACAACTCATTTGTAAAAATATCAATAATTCAGTAATATATGAGAAGTATATAAGCCCTTGAGTTATCATGTCCCAAAATCATTAGATCTGTTAATGTATTTGATCTCAGTTTAGCGAGGGGATAGAGTATAAATATCTCCGGTGGAGAATACATATACTACACGTGTATCATGTCCTTTTAGACAGATTTGTGCTTAGTGTGATATGTATGCAATGTTTTTTTGTTGATTTTCAAATGAATATTTTAAAAGAACTTTAAATCGTTTACAATTAAATCAATGAAATATACAGCCAACATTATATGCATCAAAATTGTACCAATTTTTCATTACACATTTTTTTATAAGAAAAATTAGTATTAGAAGATTTAATGAGCAAAAACCGGTTAAGGTAAATGCATTCTTTTGTATAATACACAAATTTAGCAGATCATTGAATTCCATATAAAACAGTTGCAACAGACGTGGAAACATTTTACTGAATTAAACATTAATAAATAGTATTATTTTCATGCTGGGTTTCTTGAACACATCAAGAGAATTCATCAAAAGCAAATTTCATATATTTTTTTGCAATATTTAAGACTTTAATACATGTAAAATTGCTCATAGAGTAGGTTCATTACTTGTAAATTTTACATATTAGATTACCTTTCCATGTAAGCAATATTAAATATTTGAGATGTTTTCTTAAATAGCTTTAACATTCCATTTGATTGGGATATTTTTTTTTATTATCTACACAAAGTAAGCCTGCCTTGTTGAATGTCTGTGATTTTATGTGTACAAAGAAAGAGGTATAATTGTATTGTCACCTACAGAATTTGTATTTATTTTTGAAGTTTTATTTGATTTGTATAGATCTTTTGTCATTATTTTGTAGAAAGAATGTGAGACTTTTTCTTTTATAAAGTCGGCCAATAAATAAGAACAAAACTTTGAGTTGACTTTTCTGAAGTATTTTGAAATGAAGTGCAAGAACAGAAGCAAGAAATGGAGATTAAACATCTTCACAAAAGAACATAATTCAAAACTTCATTTTTAGCTCACCTGATCTGAAAGTTCAAGTGAGCTTTTCTGACCACACATCATCCGTCTGTCTATAAATTTTTCACATTCCAACTTCTTCAAAATCTTCGGGCTAATTCTGATAAAAGAATGATAACCTTTACGCCAGCTACATGTTCACATTTTACTTCGAACACGTGGTTCATGTCAATCTATTATCGATATTAAACGGACTGCAAACATTCAAAAATGAAGATGGGGGGGGGGGGATAAGGCGGGCAGAATGCCTATAGCGTCAGATATAAAGAAATCACATTTAGTATGTGAATTGAGTATTTAAATTAACTTCTCATTAATGAAATTAATGAACTGATTAGAAAAAAAAACATTTTCTAATAGAAAATAAATCTCGTAAAAAAGTATTAGATGGTATACGTGGGATTCGAACCCCAGCAATAAAATACCGAAGTATCATATACTGCTTTGAGTCTAACGCGCTAACCACTATTAAGCTACATGGCTCATGTTGGTTTGGGGCATTTAAATCATGTTTGTGATATGACCCTTGACTTAATGGACTAGATGGATTTCTCCGAAAGATGTGAATGTTTTGTCATAAAATTGTACTTTTAAGGTATAGTGGGTCTTCGCTCCATTATTTTGCAAACTGAAAAAGGTATATTATCTTTCAAAAAAATGGAGCGAAGACCCACTCATATTGAGAAATCTTGTTAAAGTATGAGAAAATGACCGTTTTTGTTCTTTTTAGTTTGTGTATGCTTTTTCATAGGCAAATATTTTTAGTGTTTGTAAGATTTTTGTAAATTATAGAGATTTAACATTAAGTATACTTTAATATTGCATGAAATATGAAATAAAATGTGGATATAATTGAGATTAAATTTTCCACTTCTCATCTGTCGCACTATAGGCACTTTGTCCGCCTTATTCCCCCATCTTCTTTCCAGTTTAAGGTTGTACTGGTTTATTTCAAAATAAATACATATAGTACATTTGGTACCGTTTTACCGAGAGCAAAAGCCAGATATTTTGGTATACACATGTACTTTTTCTTTCAGTTATTTATTATTTTTGTGAATATATGTAGTACTAGTAAATAGAAAGATAAGCGGACTTAAATATTGCTATTTGACAAGGTATTTCAAACTACATATTTTGTTGTTTTTTCCTATGAACGTACGTTAACTTTGTAAGTATGTCCCGCTGTGGTCAACTGACCAAATCGTGGACATTTATACTATAAATGTTTCGTACACTATTCCTGCAAATCACACGCCAAATACGTCCATCTTTTTTTTATTCTTATTTAGAAACCTTGCCAAAGATATGTGTCATTCAAGGATCATATTTTGGCACTGTAATTTTGACGTTATATTTGTATTATGACGTCACAATGGATATATTCTTACAGTGTGACATAAACAGTAGTTTGACGTCACAATGATCATTACGTCACAGTTAATGGATCAGTGTGTCACACGGAAACAATGTAGATGAACAGTCCGTATAATGTCACTGCGGAGACGAGTACCCGTTTCCGCAAACCATTTTCATTGTGAAACACAAGAAATTTGGTCAGGGTTGAGAAAGGACGAAGTCCCCGACGGACAAGGAGCAAAAATTGAATGGCAGGACCCTTCTATAGAATGCTGTGAAATGGGCGAAGAAGGGGGTTACTTGATGTATGAAAGTGCTGCTTGCTCCCACACAAGTGGATTTACTTCAGGGAATCGTCCCCGCTATAATAAGGACATTCCAGAGGAAATGAAGAAGTTTTATGAGGAAGAAATACAGAAGCTTACACGTTTGCTTGATAAAGATCATATATGGGCGGGGAACACAAATGTTACTGGGCCATCGAGAGGTAAGTACAACTGCAAGTGACTACTATAAAATAAGAACTGAAATTTTTTACAAAAATCGGATAAATAGAGCGATGTGAAAATTATTGCAATGACAGAAAAAGTTTTATAATGTACACGGGCAATCTTTTATTTACTAATAAATAAAAATAATCGGCGATCTAAAAGCAATTTTACAGCATTGTTAGAATTATATAGACTTTTCAAAAGAAAATATCTATCAAAACTTCATCCTCCAAAAATGAATGAGGCGTAAACATGAGCTTAATATGCATCCATGACTTCTTCTAAAAAACAAAAATAAAATAAAATCAGGCACGAAGTAATGTTTTTGGAAGGGGTGGGGGTTACATCGATCTTGAGGCATTCAATGTATTATGAACGGATTTTGAAAAAAAAAATATTAGTAATTTCAAACTGGATAAAAACATATTGCTTGATAACGATAAAGGTGAAATGAACCAAATTAACATGAATTCACAAGTGCTACGTATCTGCCATTGATGGATAAATGATTCTTTTTTTTTTTAAACTTTGATAAAGGGAGAGTCTACGCATATTTTCACCAAGATATTATTTGAAATTCAAATTACTTTTTACAATATCAAAAACTTGAGCTGCCCATAGACTTCATTGTTACATTCAAAGTGCAATTAATTGGACAATAATCAATATTTTATAAAGTCTTTTACTCTTTTGTATGGAGCATTTTTAGGTGACTTGAGTAACTCAGGTGACCTATTGCTATCCGTTTTCGTCCGTCGTCGTGTGTCGTGTGTCGTGCGTCGTGCGTCGTGTGTTAATATTTGAACATTTTCGGCTTCTAAACCACTGAACCAATTTCAACCAAATTTGGTATACAGCATCTATGGAGGAAGGGGAACAAAAACTTTGAATTTTATGGTCCCCGCCCCCCTGGAGCCTGAGGGGTGGGGCCAAAACCACTAAAATTATTGCAATCTTTAAAAATCTTCTTATTTACCCCTGCACATCAAGCAGGCAAACTGTTGGCATGAATGTAATGAGCATTGAGTCCTCTACCAAAATTGTGAAATTCATGGCCCCAGGGTCAGGGGTTCTAGTGCTAGGGCGGGGCTATATAGATTGTATAGTGAAAATGCATGATTTCTTTGAAAATCTTCTTCTCTGCTCCTGGGTATTAAATAAACTAACCAAGCACATAGTTATGATGAGCAAGAGTGCCTCTTCCAAAATTGTGAATTTTATGACCCCAGGGTCAGGGGTTCTGGTGTTAGGGCGGGGCTCTATTGGTATAGTGAAAATGCATTTATTCTTTGAAAATCCTCTTCTCTACTTCTGGGTATTAAATAAACTAACTAAGTACATAGTTATGATGAGCAAGAGTGCCTCTTCCAAAATTGTGAATTTTATGGCCCCAGGGTCAGGGGTTCTGGTGTTAGGGTGGGGCTCTATTGATTATATAGTGAAAATGCATTAATTCTTTGAAAATCTTCTTCTCTGCTCCTGGGTATTAAATAAACTAACCAAGCACATAGTTATGATGAGCAAGAGCGCCTCTTCCAAAATTGTGAATTTTATGGCCCCAGGGTCAGGGGTTCTGGTGTTAGGGCGGGGCTCCATTGATCATATAGTGAAAATGCATTTATTCTTTGAAAATCTTCTTCTCTGCTCCTGAGTATTAAATAAACTTAGTACATAGTTATGATAAGCAAGAGCGCCTCTTCCAAAATTGTGAATTTTATGGCCCCAGGGTCATGGATTCTGGTGTTAGGACGGGGCTCTATTGATTATATAGTGAAAATACATTAATTCTTTCAAAATCTTTCCTTTGCTCCGGGTTTTATGCCAATGATCCAAGTATATATATATTTATGATGAAGAAAGGTGCATCTAGCAAAATGGTTATTTTTTATGCCCCCCCCCCCTCCCTGGGTCGGGGGTGAGGGGGGTACAAAGTCTGAAAATAAATTAATGCTTTGAAATCTGCTCTTTGGTATTAATCAACCATTTTATGATAAAATTGCAAAATTTTGAAATATGTGACCCCAGGATCAGTGGTTCCTTTGGGATGAGGTGCACAACTGGTTATAAAGTTGAAGTGCATTTTCTCTTAATGTTACTCTGATCTGCCTCTGGGTATTAAGTATATAGAGTAAGCATGCTAAGTCTATAATTATGATTAGCAATGGTGCCTCTTTCAAAATTGTGAATTGCGAATTTCATGGCCTTTGGTTTAAAACACGAACCAAATTTAATTGTTTGAAAGTTGTTGCACAATACTCAGGTGACCTATAAGGCCCGTGGGCCTCTTATATTTCAAAACACCTTCAAAATTATGGTTAAAAATATCGTACCATTCATTTCATAGGTACAAAATACGGTCGTTATACATTGCGTACCTTAATTAACTGAAAAAAAAGAAAATTATCAGTACTCCATATTCAAAATCCTATTTCATAAAATTTTATTCATACGTAACCAAATAACAATGATATTAATATTACAAAATTTAAAAAAAAATGGAGAAGGGGGTTCGTGGGTGGGGGGGAGTGTGTTACATGTACGTGTTACCAAACTCTCAATGAACAAACCCCTCCCCCGATACTCCGTGCCTGTAATCATATCAACATCAACCCTTATCTTTCCTGTGATTTAGTATAATTCACTGTTAACCTTGGACTTTCAGTAAGGGGCGATATCCTCGACGTTACATAATAGCGTCTGAAATTTACACAGCTTTCATTCACTATTGAATAAATCAGATAGTAATTCAGGCGAATGTCAACGTGTAGCAAATATCCAATATCAGCGTTGTTACAATGCACTTTGAAAAATTACGCACTTTGAAAAAAATTTTCAAAGTGCGTTAAATTTGGGACCAAATCAATCGCACTTTGAAAAAATAAAATTTCTTTTCAAAGTGCGTTAATACCGACCATATTAACGCACTTTGAAAAAAAAGTGAACGGTCGATATTCTTTAAATCTTGAGAATGATAAATAATTGAACATGTTGGATAAATTTTTGGTGATAATTTTAAGGTCCCTTTAGGATGTGAAAGTGAGCGATTTTCATTTTTCCTTAATTTGAACACTCTTCCTCTTTTAAATGTGTTACTGTACTTAATTTTTTCCAGTTTGCATGTATTTTATATAAGCTAAAATTTATTGATAGTTTTCAACCAGTTATGCAAATACATATATTTGGGTGTAGCATATATTACGCGGACTTGCTGCACAGAAAAAATATTTGACGACATAATCGGGCAAAATGTCGCACATAATATAAAAGAATCTTTACTTATATGGTCTACAAAATTTCATATCAAAATGTTGTAAATTGGTATCAATTTTGAGTGATTTTTCAGGACATATCATTAAGTCACGGAGCAGCAAAATCTTCGACGTCACAGACATTATAAAAAAATATGTGATTGAGCTTTCAAAAAACATACAAAATTTCATTCAAAATGAGTATCACAGGACATATCATTAAGTCACGGAGCAGCAAAATCTTCGACGTCACAGACATTATAACAAAAAAAAATGTGATGGAGCTTTCATTTTCTCAACATTTTCCCAAGAGTACCTGTACAGTTTGAGTTATCTTATCTACTCAACATCCAAACACCATTTCTTGTCAAGCTTTAAATCTATTAAACAAGTAAAGAATATTCTTTTTTTGTTTTAAAACCAAAAACTGCAGGTATTTATGAGATATAGTGTGATATTGGTGACTCTCAATCACGTTCTTTACAGTCCGGATAAAGTTTTCGTCGATAATCTTCTTCCCGTCCTCCCGTATAGCCATTTTACAGAGGTCTAACGGTCTAAAATTCCTATTTGCTATTTGTGGACGAATGTCACGAATACCCTAGTTTACTACATGTTTTATTATGCATATTTTGGATCTATGTTGGCGATATCTCGAGCATTACACATAATTTAACAAAAGTGTGGTGCGCCGTCAATTCTAGGAGACGTCATTTTCACAGTCGTTTTCACGGGAATCGCATCAGAGGAAAATCACTATATTTCTGTTAGTACTTCAAATATCACGTCAGAAATCCAAATACATAATAATAGAACAATTTAAAGATACATTTGAGAAAATTGTCGAAAAATATTGCGAATTATAGAAAATAAATGAGTTAAATTTTGGATTCCGCATGCTTTTGCTTCAATTTTTTTGTCGTGCTCCGTACCTCTCCATCAGCGATATCAACATACCGATAATTTTAGTAGAATTTTTTTAAAATACAGAAATTTTGCCCAAAATTTATTGTAATCTTTGAGATACATATTTCTGTGAAATTTCGTAACTCTATGACGTCTGTAAGAGTAAATAATAGCACAGTCCGCGTAATTTGTGCGTTGCCACACAGCGTCTTGCACGGCAAAGAGGTTGGAGTTAAGTCGTCTCATTGTTGTCAACTACAATTTAAAGTTTCTGATGTTATTAAGAGCCATTCTCTGTAATGACTTGAAATTTTATATACGAGCTGTGGCACGCATAATCTCAGAATTTCTCCAAAATCTCTATGATAAAAGTCTTTGATACCCTAAACCAATTTCAAGTAAAAATTGGTTGCTATGTGTTACAGTTACCATGGCAACATGTCTGAAAGTTTGAAAAATGGCATTTTTTAATTTGTTTAGAGCCCCATAGTTAACATTTGCGGCAAAGCAAACAATTGACAATAATTGTTTTCTAAAGCCTTCAGTCATATGTTTTAAATGCATGATAAACATGTATGGGAAATCAACTATTACATACGTTACTTTGGTAACAAAGTATTCAAAAGTTTAAAAAATATTCATTGAAGTTTATAAAGTCATACACATAAAAATAAAAAGCAATAATAAGATAAAATGTGACCAAATAATAGAGAAAAGAGCCTTGAAACATATACCAAGACCAAATTATAATATTTCATTTTGGTTGGCAATGGTTACCAAGGGTTTTATACCATAGAAACACTTAAAATTTACACTCTGTATGTCTAAATCTGATGCTATCTTTTGAAAAAAAGCACATTTCCTTATACTAGTAACTGATGATCAATTTTTAGAGGTGTTGGTGTGGTCCTAAATTTCCCATGAAAAAAAATCAAATCCGATTCTTTGAATAGAGCGTTGCTATGGGAATAAGCAGAAAATATATGCTTAAAAATCTGTAAACTATTTTGTTCCCTTGGATATGTACCCTTAAATTTTTATGATTGATATTTATAAATGGCTAACCTGACTTTCAATATTGACTATCATCCAATCGCTAACTGGACGCTAAAAGCTGGCACACAGGGTTTAAAATTGATTTTTAGTTTACAAAATCGAACATTTTCCCTTCTTCGTTACCATAGCAACAGAGTTGTTTTTTTTTAAATCAAATTCTATCAATATATGATATTCAACTTTAATTTTACCGGATAAGTACTATTTAAAGTGGGTCATATCATATGTTTCTCGATTTAATGGAAAGTAAATTCGAAATGCAGCCAAGAAAATTCACTTAATTTAACAACCTGGTACGTTGTTTCCTTGGTAACGTTGCAAAGTAGCAATTAATCCAAAGTTTTCTTACCTTTCTTACGGTGTTGTTGTTGCAAGGTCCTAAGGATGCATATTTGCCAGTCTTGAATTTTCATGTTTTTCCTCAAGACAGTAGCATTAGCCCAATCTTAGTTACTTATTTTACTTGGTTACACTGTGTTACCATGGCAACCATAAAAGTTATTTATAGAATATTATTGCTTATACCTATATACTTAAGGTAAAACATTTTCATTGTTTTTCTTAAGTTGTTGATTGAGTTTGACCATGTAACAACTACCAATAGTGAATACTGTGCGTTTTTCAGCATATTTCAGCATTTTAAATGTATTCAAAATGTACCCTTGGTTACCACTTACTTAGAGATATATTCTAAGCAGTTTCTATACAGTATGAGTGGCAACAAGGTGTCATGTTTTTGTTAAGGCTCAGTAAAGATTAAAAGTAGCTGAAAATCTCAATTCTTCAAATTTTTCCGGCTGTTACCATGGCAATCGAGACACATAGCAACGAAAATTTATTTGATTAATGTTTCTGGGGCCAAGGATGAAAAATGGACGAAGTTTCATCAAAATCGGTGACCAGGTGTGGCAACCAAGTTTAAGCGGTCGCAGAGAATTGCTCTTAATTTCTTAACCATCTATCTGCCATATGAGAGACGCTAATTACGTAGCACCTAGAATGCCACGCCTTACTGAAAGTCCAAAGATGATAGAGAATTGTACTATATGCGAAGAATTTAGCAAAAAATAAGACTTTCTTTAATTTTTTTTGAAAATTTATTTTTACTTGTAATCCTTTTGTGATGCAGATGATTTTAAACAGAACCACCCTCCCGGGGGGGGAGCACCACTCTCTTGCTGTGATACAGACGATTTTAATCAGAACCACCCTCCACCTCCCCTCTCCGGCAGTGCAATGAGGAACAATCTCCTTGGAGCCATTCAGCTGAAACGTACATCTAGCGAACCAGCCGAGGAAAAATTCGACCCAACAAAAAGCATCCCTAACCTAGCGTTCGAGGGCCCAAAAGAAGAAACAGGGCCCACAGAAAGTTTTGCCGGCCCTCCGCCTTCGATCCCCTCTGAACAACCGACAACCTCGGGTGGAGATCCAATGAAAAATCTCCTAGGGGCCATTCAACTTCAAAAACCCGAAACGGACTTCGTAGAGGAAAAATATGACCCCACAAAGAGTATTCCAAATCTAGCTTACGCAGGTCCAGTGGAGGAACCAATCGAAGAGGCGACGGCCGAGGAGCCGTTGGAGGAAAAGCCAAGAGCCCCTTCCTATGACTCTGGATTTGTTACATCAAGGACCGCAAGGATTGCCAATAACCAGAGTCCAAAAGAATACACCGCACCTTCTAAATCTCAGACCAAGTCAAAACCGTCGAAAAGCAGCCTTACTCAGACCAAAGGACCTCCTAGTCTGACGAGCGTTTTAAGTGCTGCACAACCAGAAAGACAACTAAGTTCTCGAGTGAGTTCGAACACTGGTGTGGATAACAGTGTGAAGCTAGTGAAGCCAAGTCTAGTTAGATTTAGTCAGATAGGGGAACGGCACGGCGAAGGAGTGGAAGACCAGAGGTCCAGAGAAAGCACAGGGGGTTATGTCGGACACGAAGAGGAAACTCTCATATCCTCCCACAATATACATCCCCATGAACCACTTTCTGACCATCATCTAGGCCATGTTAGACATCAAGCCCGGCCACTTATTATGGTCAACGAAGATAACACAATCAGAGCTGTTAAACATAAACACGAGCTAAACGACATCTTGAGGGCTACTACCGGTGACCACATGCCCGAATTACCACTAGAAATACAAAACTACATCGATAAATTCCATGATATTCCGCTGAACAAATTGATGCATTATGCCGAGACTGGATCCTATCTTAGGGAGAGCTTCCTTGACAGCAACATCTGCGACATTCGTGTTCATGTCGGTAAAGACACGTTCCCTGCGCACCGGATCGTGCTAGCCTGCTTCAGTCCGTACCTAGCTTCAGTTTTAGAACACGAGAACCCACTTAAACATAAAAAGCCCAAAGATATTCGAATATCGGGGGTTTCCGAATGGTCTGTTAAAGTTCTATTGAATTATGTTTACACCGGAGATCTAAGAATGGAAACTGCCCTTATTCCAGATTTCATCAAATTGGCCGATAAGTTTGATGTTGCTGCAGTTCGACAAAAATGTTTCGATCAAGTAGAATCGATAACTGATGATGAACTCCTAGCTCTGCTCTCCGTGATGAAAGACACGCACGACGTGGAATACTGCGATCGCATCATGAAAAGCCTTGCCTCTAAATTCATGCGCGTGAGAGACTGCAAGACATTTCTCCAGCTCGATATCAACACCCTTTGTATGATTTTGTCATATGATGCATTGATTCTGCGCAGTGAGATGGATATTTTCTATTCGGGTTTGAATTGGCTTCAGAATGGGGATGCTAAGGAACGCTGTAAGTATCTAGACCGAATAATGGACTGCGTTCGGTTTCCTCTGATGAACCAAGCCGAGCTGTACGAGTGCGTGGAACGCTGTAGCCTGTTGAAATCGAATGCGACTTGCTTGCAAAGAATTTACGAAGCTAACTGGTACACAATTTTTTTGTCTCTCTTTGATCTTTGAATATATATTCAATCTTTCTGTTTCAATCTTGGAATATTTTGTTCTACTTTATTTTCAAGCAAGTACCACTACATAATTCCTAAATAGTAACGCACTTGATATGTCAAAGACGTTATTTTGCCTTTTTCGTTTTAATATATTCAACAAGGAATCTACTTCGTTTCATTTAATCAATAAGATATTCAATATAAACTTTCTCGACAGGCTGATGACGATGTCTATGCTACATAAGCAAGACCCCCTCCGTCTGCACGTCCCTCCCCATCGTAATAACATCAACTCCAGCGCCAGTGTCAGCGACTATATTACGGTGAGTTTTTTGGGGGAAAGATAAAAATAAAAAAAATTATATCAAAATGTCATTTAGGTTTGGTTTGTAAACAACAGCTTTTTTTAGAGAAGAAAACCATTCGAACATTTCTTATCCCAAAAACGTTTCTTAGAATCAAAGTGTCTTTTGTCTATACTGTACTAAATATTTAGAATACGATTTTTTTGCGTTTGATTCTGATATATAAACCGTTAATGCACATATTTGTAGCGTACATGTAGCAGAGTGAAGTCTGACGTCACTGTAGAAGTAGCAAGAGATAGCTCTCCTAAAAATTATAACAGTGAGCCGGGAATGTCAAGGACAAAATACTCTCCCTCAAACTCACAAGGGAGTCCTCGTAACAACAACTCACAGGGGAGGGCCCGTAATAACAATGCAGGGGGCCTGGGGAGAAAGCTGGGGGAACTGTGCATCCCATCAGTAAAAATGGAGAATTCAAAATCCAAAGGTATTAATTGTTATAATAA